TAGGGTTTAGGGTTTAGCCTACTGATAGGAGTATATAGGGTTTAGGGCTTAGGATTGAAGATTTAGGCTTTAGGAAATCAGGGTTTAGGGTTTAGGGTCAAAGGGGGTTGTATAGGGGACTATATAGGGGGCTCTTATAGGGGTTATCGAGGGGGATACTATGAGTTTAGACTAAAGCTCGTATAGCCCCCGTGTAAAGGAACTGCAGTTTTTGGGTGCCCTTTTTGTGGCTTCCATGTTAGTTTTCGGGAGGGTAATGAATTGCTACGATCCTCCCGCACTTGGCCACAAGCGGTTTCTCTGTTCATTTAATTCCATATGGCAACATCATTTGTGACCTCTTTGCTATGCTTGCGAATCCTGCCCAACTTGGTATAACCGATAGCTACCTCAATGTGCAACCCCCAGTAGTCCAAAACAAAGTTGTGACATCGCCTCTAAGATGACAGAGGGAATGATCCGAACAAAACATGAGGATATGTTTGAAAGATCATTGACCATGGGTAGTTACAAGTTATGATTTGACGAGAATGAGTGTAGCTGCGCCCTAATGTGGGGCTACTCGCAACCTCACTTAGAACTGACCATGAACCTTTCTAGTAAGTGGGAAGCCATCAGTTTGTTTCACCTCATGGGGAAAAGGCGTTTTCTGCTTGGATGGGCGGTGCTGAAGTCCGCGGAGAAGGTCTTAGCATGGAAGATTTGGCCTTGGCCTCAGGAAGTGTGTTTAGGGTTTAGGGAATGAAGGAATGGAAAAGAAAATGGAAACTACTATAATGGGTTATAATAATGGGTTATAACGGGCTTTATAGGGTTTAGGGTTCAGGGCTCCGGGTTTAGGGGCTTGGGCCCCAAAATCTTAAAACCTAAGCCGTGCGAGGTCAGGGTTAAGCGTTCAGTGCTCAGAGATTGAGATATCCCAGACATGAGGCCGGATTTTTGGGCGTTTGAAGTCTCAATACGGTTTAGGGTAACGTAGACCCATGAATATGCCCCATCCTTTTAAGGGCCTTACTATTAGGATTCCTATTATCCCCATTACGTGGAGGGGTTTTATGAACCAGGGGTCTGGGGAACAGGATGTACGGGGCTTCTAGACATATCCTTCTCGCGTCCTTAGGATGAAGATGTTAGCCTCAAGCGTTACAGTCCCCCTTAAGTAGATAGAACACAGGGTTTAGGGGTTAGGGTTTAGGATGTAGGGTTTAACGTTTAGGGTTTTATTCCCCCTTGAGTAGATAGAATATGGTGTATCCTATTGGGGGTATATAGGGAATAATGGAAAAGAAAACGGAAACGACTATAGTATAATGGGGTATATGTTGGGGATAGCCCCCTCTTACATGGGGTATATGGGGAGATTTTAATATACCCAAGCCATATTCTATCTACTTAAGGCTGTAAGCTAAGGACACTGGCTGAAATGGGCTTATTGGCAATGATCCATGCACATGTGTGGTTCGTCTTAGCAAACCCCCCTATGGCCTAAACCCTAAACCCTAAAGAATCCTCTGGGAGCATCGTAGGCTTTCCCACCCCCCCTCCAGCAAGCAAGGACCTGACAAAGTTTCAGAAGGTCTTTGCGGTGAAGTCGAACATGCTGGTCTTTGCGCAGGCACAGAGGAATTCCCCAAAGGGTCCACATATACAAGCATTAGGGAATTGGGACCCATAATTCCTTCTATTTGGGGGCTTATTTAATTCCCTAATAGTTGTATGTATGGACCCTTCTGGGTTCCTAAACATTCCAGAGATTCAGGGTCAAGGGTTTAGGGTAGAAGTACAGGCCCTTAACCGCCCGGAGTAGGTGAAGGCCTAATAAGACAGGCCGACACGTTACCTTCGCCTGAGAGAGAGCGTGTAGTTGCAAATGTCTCAGCAGCATGGAAAGTAAGGAAATCACTGGGGGAAAGCGCAGTAATCATGAGAATGGTGGTTGGTGGTTGAAAGCTTCCCACCAGCGTTGGTATCATCATGGCAGCCGCACCCCCTCGGACTGAACCATGTCACGTCGAACTGCATAGCAACATGAAGCTCCGGCGCCGGCCGGCGGCGATGACAGCGTATGACAATGCAGAACAAGCAAAACCGTATCAGGACAATCTCACGCAAAAAAACATTTGAGTAGCTTCTTTATTTGGGGATACTATGGTACCCATTGTCGAGTAAGATTCTATCCTCCTTTTGGGGTATAGTATTTCGTATAAGGAATATTATCTTACTAGGTTTAACAGCCGAAAAGTAAACTACTCATTTGTGATGATTTGAGATTTGGTTGAAATCAGCATTGGATCATTTGATGACCGATCTGAGCAAGAATTTGAGGCTTCAGGGCAACACAGGGATTCTCAAATTGGGTTACCCTAGGGGTTTAGGGTTTAGGGTTTAGGGAGGGACCCTAGGAATATTCGTGGATTATGAGTGGAGGGGTTCTATGGGCACCCCTACTAGGGTTTCTGGGGAATATCTAGGGGCTTGTCATGAAAATAGCATTGCGTTTGAACTCCATTTTTTAGACCCATCCTAGATCCTAAACCTTCGAAGCTTTGACACCTGAGCTGATCACTCGAGATCCCAAACTCCCAAGCCTTAGCCATCAGAACCGCATTTCATAGCAGGAGCCATACGCTCAGACCCAAATCCAAAGCCTCCAAATCCCAAGCTCCTAACCCTATGCCCTAAATTCAATTCCCAAAGCCCAACATGCTAAAAAGCTGAGATCCCAAACCCCTTGATCTACACGTCAAAATATGGGCCCTCTGTCTGTTGAGGGGATTTCATGGCGCACTTAGGGGTCGGTATTAACATAGTATAACCACAATATATACCCAAGTTCTTTTCCATTATCCCTATATAGTATACCCCATATTCTATGTACTTAAGGGGGACTAAGTATACACTGGGCATATTCTATGGAGACCCATGGATTAAAGGCCCTTACTTTTGCCATGTGCTTCATGCTTTCTGTGGGGTGGGTCCAAAGGAGGTAGGTACCGGAGAACCTTGAGTTCTGGGGGTCAGGGATTTTTGGGGAACCCCCCTTGCAGCCCCCTTGAACACACTGTAGTCTGTAATTTAAGACGTGTTTTACAATGCTATCCCCCCCAAGGCCTACCATTTTTTCAAGCCTTATATAGTCCTTATGATTCGGGGGGATGGTACCCTAAACCCTAAACCCTAAAACTCTAAAACCCAACTCCTAAACACTACACACTACACCCTAAACCCTAAATCCTAGACCCTTGGGATCCGCCCCGAAGGCACTACCCGGCTGTATCCCCATCTCAGTGATCGTGACTTTCCTGGCCGACTACCTGGCCACCGACCAGGGAATGGCGGTGGAGGACACGGTTTAGGGTTCAGGGTTCGGGGTTTAGGGTTTAGGGTTTAAGGTTTAGGGTTTAGGGCCTAGGGTATCATCTTGGAGCCGATTCAGGGTTTAAATCTCAAGCCTTTCCATTTCCTCAAACCCCTTCATAACCCCAGCTTCCAGTTCATTGTTTTCCATTTGATTCTTCCACGTTGAAGTAGTCGTATCCCTAAACCCTAAACAGCAAATTCCAAATAGTAGGTTCTATTCTGTTTTCCATTCCTTCCCCAAAAGCCTGATCCTTGTACAGCCCTGTATATCCTCCATACAGCCCTAGGCCCTAGACTCTGAGCCCGAACCCTAAACCCCAAGCCCTAAACCCCAAGCCCTAAACCCTAAACCTTCAGCCCTAAACCCTAAACCCTAAACCCTAAACCCTAAACCCAGGCCTCCACGGCAGTCACGGCGGTGTTCGGCATGAGCTGCCTGGGCTTCGGCATCACCGGCGGCATCCTGGGACAGTCCTTGTGGAATCAGAGGTGGGTGTTTTATAGGGTTTATAGGGATTATATGGCGTTATATAGGGATTATATAGGGGTTATATAGGGATAATGGAAACGAACATGGAAACTACCATTGAGGGCTTGAGGTGTAGGGCTCAGGGTTTAAGGTTTAGGGTGTAGGGCTTAGGGTCTGGGGTTTATAGGGTTTGTAGCGTCTATAGGGTTTATACGGTTTGTAGGGTTTATAAGGTTTTATGGGATTTATACGGTTTAGGGTGGATCAGACGCGGTGCAGTTCATCGTGCCGGTGGGGGGGGGGGCATTTGGGGGCTTTGGGGTTTAGGGTTTAGGGGTGTTATGTGGGATCCTGAGAAAAGGATTTTCTAAACCCCAAACCCCAAACTCTTAAGTACGCTATACACCCTAAACCCTAAGCCCCAAACTCTTAACACGAATTTCGGAGGCTCCTGGGGATGCCCTGGTTACTAGTAGGATCAAAAAGATTAAGGATCAATTCAGTGTAGTCAACTCAAAACAGGAAGGCTTGGGTCCCAAAGCTTGTTTAGGGTTTAGGGTTTAGGGTCTGTACTTTACCGCCCTGGGGTACTGAACGCGTTTCCGAAAACTTTGTTTTGTTGGGGACTTTCCGCGCGAACCGGCATTCAGCATGAGAGTTGAGGCTTGAGGACTGGAGGTTTAGTAGGGGACTTCTACACCAACTGTCTTACTGGTTCTTAGCAGGAAACAAGGGAATATAATCCCTATATTAACCCTATATGGTATATCCCTAAGAACCAGCAAGTTGTAAGGGTACTTAGGGGATGATAGCCCCATCCAAGACTTCAATTCTATCTGATTTCTTAATGCCCGGTCCATGTTGATCTTAGAAATCCTGCATGACATTAATTCCCGAAGTATAAGCTATGCAGGATCAGCCAGGATTTTTACTATCTACCGTAGTTATTCGTTCAACTCAGCACATTGCTCGTAGGATTGGTGCATGCCCCTTGCTGTGATAGTCATGGCTGCTATTGGTGTCACTTTCAACGATATTCATGACGTGATTGTTTTGCAACTATGAAGGACATGGCTGTTGCGCTCTTTCGTAGTCTGTTTCTCGTTGTCATCGCTGCTGCCAGGAGTATAGCATCATAATCTCCTCCCCTGAGTAATGAGCCCCCGACTCCCAAATTCATACTGAATACTGAATACTCCCTTTCCCAATGTATTAGTATCATGTATTATTGTACAGGGGGTGAGGCGGAGCGATTATAAGAAATTATGCATGCTGTTGAGCTGAATTCTCAGTTCACTGTGGGCCCCACTTCATGAGAGGCAGAAGAGGATGCACCACTTCTGCCTGCTGACAGCGGCTGGGATGCTGGTGCCCGGCTCAGTTGTCTTCCCTACGGCGTTTAGGGTTTAGGGTTTCAAGTTCAGTATAAAGCCTCAACCCCGAACTCTTTGGGATTTGGGACGGACATTTTCTGTGGATGTACTCAGGTAGCTCCACTTCCCTTCATGCTGCTGGTGAACTCCTCGCAGGCCTTTTGGTCGTACGTATTGCCTGGAGGGTCAGGGAAACTTAGTAAGTAGGTTAAGCACGGGCACAACTGGGGTTACTACATGACTTACTAGGTCGCCCTGAGACCCTCCAAGTACTTATTGGTATATGCCGAATGTGCAGTCCATGTTTCTGGGACTCTGTCAAAGGCACTCATCACATCTGCCTCCGGGCGGCCAACGCTCTTCGCCTTCTTCTTGGCCCTTTGCGGTGGGTCGGCGGCCCTGGCAGGCTCCTTTTCTATTCGTGTTTGCAAAGTGTGCTCACGGGAAAATGTAGCATGGCTGTACTTGCGAAGTTGCTAGCAGGGCCGAACATCCGAGCGGTGCTGATGAATGTGAACCCTTCTGAACGCCGTGGAACTGTGTTTTCGGCATTCACCTTGTGCGACGATCTTGGTAAGGGGCTTGGCCCCAGCATCGTCGCCTGGCCGCACCAGTTGATCTTTGCAGCCTAGACAGTACCCATGAACTTGCTGATGTGCACTCAGCTTATTGGGGTGTAGTAGGGAATAAAGGATTCTAATCCTTATATACAAACCTTATAGACTATTATTTTCTTATTCCCTACTAACCCTACGCCCTAAACCCTATCACATTTCCGTATTTCCCTATTAATCCAGAGTAAGCTAAGGTAGTAGCACTTGTCTCACTCCTGGGACGCCGCAGAGCCTTCACCTTGGCTTTTGGATCCTGGTGGATAAGTGGCCCAGCTGCACATGGGTAGTTTAGGGTTCAGGGTTTTGGGGCTTAGGGTTCAGGGTTCAGGGTCTAGGGTTTAGTGTCCAGGGTTTCAGGGTTTAGGGTTTAGGGTCCCATTTTGGTACCTCTAAATAGTACGTAGGTGCCGTAATATTTTCTATAACCAAAAGCGACCCCATACTTCGAGAACAACCCACATGCCATCCGTGCAGGATTAGCTCAGCTGGGGCGTAAGTCTGAATCTTTGCGTGTTTATGTGTGGTATTTTTTTAAATACATGATGGGCCCAATATAGACAAAAGAAAGTATGCCTTATGAGGGGGAACCCCCAAAAAGGGACTCCTAATTTATGGAAACCCTAATGTACCCTGCCCTGATGCCCTATCCGAGGTGGAGCGATTGTCAGTCAGTTGAGGCATTCTCTGAGCGTAGATGCCTCTCGTGGTGGGGACTCTCTCCTTCCCACTAAGAAGATGTAAGCGCTGAAGATCCAGACCCTTGACGGCCAGCTGAAGCAACTGCAGACTGCTGATGGACTTGGCGAAGCTCGAAACATGGGATTCCTAATGGTGGTTAGTAGGGAAGGGAGGATTATAAAGTTGTGCCCACACAGTCCCTGTAGCCCATACTACCCTTTAGTTACTATTACTACCCTTTCCTTCATTCCCTACTGCCCATACCACCCTTTCCTTCATTCCCTACTAACCACCAGTCTGGACTTTCCCGTGGACACCTACTGCGCTACCGGCCTTCTTGCAGTACACTAAACAAGGCTGAGGCGCACGCGCCAGGGTGCCTGAAGAACCTCTGTGTGACGAAGTGCTGGCAGTCAATGCCCCTGCTTGCACCGCCAGCTTAGCCAATGGGTGAGAAAAGCTGCACTTGTTGGTTTTGACAGCTTCTTACGATTGAGGGGGGGGGGTACATGTTCCCTCAGCATGCGAGGAAATTTAGGATCCCAAATTATAGCTGAGTTTTGTTGAGAACTTCAAGCGTCGTTCGCTGCAACTCAGTGCTGATATAGCAGGGAACAAGGGCATATAATCCCTATGCGACGATTATATAACGTGTTCCCTCATTCTCTACTAAGCCCCAGTAAGTAAGAGGAAATGAATCAATGCAGAAGATCATGGAAACCACAAGATATTATTGTGGGTTTGTATAGGGATTACTATCTAAGGATCCATGATGGATATAAGGTCCCTAAGGTCATGCATTATTTTTACCATACTTTTACTATAATACTATACTTCTCAGCGCACAGGGTCCCTCAGGTCATGCAGGATTTTTAGTATCCCCTAAACCCTAAACCCTAAACCCTAAACCCCTAAACCCTAACCCTAAACCCCTAAACCCCTAAACCCCTAAACCCCCGCAAGGCCTTGATGCAGAGCAGGACCCAGAAGA